TTAGGCTATCTGCACACTTGTCGTCCAATCATACACTGAGGGAAATAATGCATAGTAAAATTGAATACTTTATATTTGATTATCGTTTAAAAATGTTCGTATTTAAAAATAATTTTTTCATACAAAACTTATTACGCACGTATTTGGCTGTTCACATCTGAGTATGTATATGTAAGTGTACATACCCTGTGGGGAAAATTTCTAGTTCTGAACTGGTGCTCTTCTAGTACATTTAGACCCAGTACTGGTTCGCGATAAATCTTTTTTGCATGCATGCAACTGGCGAATTTAACATGGCGATGCCCTAGGAAGTGCCAATTTCCCCCTGCTGCATCCCTTTTTTAATAGTTTCGAACTCCCCCTATATTCTATTCCGAACCAGTTCTAAAATCGACAGACGAAAGAAAAAAGTATCATGATTTTTCAATCTTTTTGGTTCTTCCGTGTGTGCGATTTTCAGTTATTTTGAACGAAATGTGTTTTCAATTTGAAATTAAATTTGTTTGAATGATTATAAGAAATGTACGTTTACATACCTTTAGCTGTAGCTGAGTTTGCAGAGGTGCTCGCTGTTAAATTCCAGACGGTCCCAAGATGTTGAAATGTTAACACAAATTTTTCTTTTGTATTACCAAGCTATGAAAAAGCATCTGCGAAGTGCAGAATAGAAGCGTATTTGAGCGAAAAAGCCGCCGAACACATATGTTTGTAAAGTAAATAAGCCCCCCGCTGCATCCCTTTTTCGATAGTTCCGAACTAGTTCTAAATTCGACAAATAAGATCTAGTTCGTTCTGCATCCCTTTTTCTATAGTTCCGAACCATTTCTAAATTCGTCACTTTAGATATCGATTTCTAGTGAAAAAAACTGAAAAAAATTAGTTTTTTAAAAGTACCACTTTTCGCCTATTTCGGACTGGTGGGGATCTAGTTCCTATCGGACAAGTACGGAACTAGAAATTTGATTCACTAGTCCGCGGTTTCCCTGCGGGGTACGCACCCCAAGCGTGTAGAGCGCCGCTCTGAGAGCGGTGACAACACACACATACATACATAGTACATACATGTTTATCCGTACAAATCGCATGCTGTGGCGTTGATGGATATTCAACATTTGAAAGCAAATTTATATGCCTGGGTGTAGCTGAGTGCGCAAAGGTGCTTGCCACAAGTTGTTGATATCCGGAGATGGTCGGGCTCGAATTCCACTGCAGGCAACATGCAAATTAAATTTTTTTTTAGTTTTTGTCATGATTATTCATTTCACGGATGTTTTTTAAGTACGAACGCGGTCATTTTAATATGCGCGTAATTGAATTGAATATTAACCAATATACAGTACTTTCGTTGACGTTTATAGTAAGATCAATTACGTTTCTATTTGATTTTAATAGGTTTTCCCCTCAGTCTAGTTGCGTTATCGTCTCGCCCTGAAATTTCAAGCCGAGCACATGCATTTCGAAGGAGATCTGCACACTTGTCGTTATCGGCTAGTTATCGACAAATCGTAGAAGATGCAGAAACGGATAAGTACGGCACTGTCGTTTGCTAATCGTTGTGCACGCATTGTTTGTTTAAAATTTATGGGAAAAATTGGTGAAAAAGTAAATATTTGCATTGAAATCGCATACAAATTAGTATTTTTTGCATAAAATCTGTGGAACTTATTAAAAAGTGGTTAATGGCAATAAAATTCAATAAATGCGAGAGTTTTAACTATAGAATATGATGAAATTGTAAAAAGTCTCTGCGTGTGTGCACAAAACACATTTCAGGAAAACAAAAGAAGAGATATTACTGGAAAATTATGTCTAGAATTATTGCTGCACAGTCCATATTTTAAAACTTGCAGGTTTTTGTAAACATTTTGCGAAAATATCAACCAGAAAAACAAAAAATACCTCCCGCAGTGAATTTTTAGACGCCAAATGAATTGAAATATCACGACCGAGTGTGCGAAAGTATAGTCGTCATGTAATCGTTGCATCATGATTGTGACGATGAAGCAACCATGTGCAGAAAGCCTTAGAAATAGCTTAGAAATATGAAATATTAAATCACGTTTATCACTTTGCGCACATAAAAAGGAAGAAGCGACGACTTTAAGAGTATATTGCAAGGAAACGGTACATTTTTGGGCAAATATTTGATTACATGGCGATGTAGAGTTTTATCGACTTTCATATGGTACTAGAAACATCTTTGTACTTTGAAATTCATTTTTTGAATTAATCTCCAATATCGATATCAATTACCCCACTTTGCGGCGTATACATGGTCCAACATACAGAGTAACTCTTTTAAGCGTTCTTCGCGCTGAAAACGTTACCAGACAATTTTAAGGTTGTGGAGACTAGTTCTGTTATTAAAAAAATGAAGCCAAATAGAAAAGAGTTGGGTGCATGGCGTGGATGACAACAAAAAAAGAGTTATCTTAGAAAACAAAACATTTCATATAAAGGACTCCCGAAACATTTAGCAGTTTTAAAACAGCTCGAACTACTGTCAACATAAAGACGGCTAAAATCTTATTCTATAAAGAAAAGTTTAGTTTTGCGTTAAATACAAAGCAAAATTGGAGTACTATTGAGGAAATCGGATAGGAAAATCCAAAGAAAGTACACTGTACACTGTCTGCTACCACAGCTAATATTTGTCTAGATAACTACTGTGTTCGTTTAAATTAGAGGTGGGCACGTGAGTAATTTTGGTTCGCGTTCACGCACGTTCACGTTGATGGTTTTTTAATTCACACACACTCACGTCCTGCTATATTTTTTTCAATCACGTTCACGCACGCTCACGACGCCTATTTTTTCAATCACGCACGCTCACGCACAGTGTCTCACGGACATTTTTTTGAAATTCAAACTTTATTTATATAAATAGTATTTCATATAAATAGCCTTTTATCACACAAGTATTATTACAAACGGCCAAACGCTTAAGGCACTAATATTATTTTAACAAATTTCAGATATACATACTTATGTATCTATTACAAGTATAAAAAATAATTGGTATCAATATTTGTTCAACGTATGTAATATTAAAATTACATTAGCTCATATTTTTGTTTAAAAATAATACTTTGTCGAGGTTTTCACCAAGCAGTCGTGTACGTATTTCTTCCAGAATTCTGCCTGACACAGAAAAGACTCTTTACCTAGTTGCTAAGTTAGCTGCTATGTTTAAAATTTGCCTTAAAAGACTTCTAAGAAGGGGCAAATCTTTAGCTTTCTCCCAAAATTTTAAAACATTGCTTTTGTTTTCCGATTTTTTCAAATACATCTGTATTTCCTTATTAATGTCTTCAAAAACTGTTTCTGCAGATTCATTTGTCGCATCTTTGAATTCGTCAAAAGTTGCACGGGTTTTTGCCCTTTTCGAGCTAGAAGGAATGTCATCATCCAGAATTTGGGAATAGTGCTGAGGGCGAGCGCTCTTTTCTTCAAGCGCAGTCTACCTAAGTAAGAGTAGAATAGATGTGAAAATAGTAGCACTTTTAAGCTGTTCATCGGCGCCCTGATTGAATTTTGTTGCCAGCACAAAAAGAGATCAGGATTTACTCTGTTAGGCGTTAGGAAAATGAATTCAAAGCAATTGCTTTGAAAAAGTCACCCGGTACTATCCCTGTTACAACACATACTTGAGTGACATTGACATGCAATTTCTTTAAAGTTTGCGCCTAACTGTAGGCAAACCGAAAAACTGCAGATGTGCAAATGAATATTACAGAATGCCTCCAATTTCAAAGGAAAAAGAATAAATGTTGCCACACTAGTGAAAGTTAAATAGTAAGTTAACGAATTTATTTTAGATTAAAATACAAATAAGTACATACATACATATGTGAAAATGACGTGATTGACAAAAATCTAACTCACGCACACGCACGCACGCGAAAATTTCAGGCACGCACGATCACGGATTTTACGTGATTTTTCACTGAAAGCTGCTCAGGCGTGAAAAAGCGTGACACGGCGTGTCACGTAGAAAAGCACGACTTTTGCCCATCTCTAGTTTAAATTTTGGTGATAGTCCATTTAAATTTGCTTGTATTGGTGATTGTGATGTCATCCAAGCTATACTTTCGGTTAAGTCGAATGCAGTAGGATTCGATGGAGTCCATGCAAAATTTCTTAAAATTATACTCCCCAAAATATTTCCGCAAGTAACCTATATAGTCAACTCCATCTTGATTACCTGTACTTTCCCAAAGTGCTAGAAAGTTGCAAAAGTAAGTAAGTCTAAAGTTGTTGAGCGCATATTACATAAGCAAATGATTTCGTATGTGCAAGATCATAAACTCCTAACTTAGGGATGCCCAAATCAGCACATATGTGTCGCGGGCGACTGCACGTGCAAAGCTTTGCACAGCGTTGCTAGGCAAGCGCGGAAGCAAAAAGTTATCGGAAGGGGAAAAGAAGTCAGCAGAATAGTGAGATTGTATGTGTGACAGTGATGGAAAATGAGTGTGCATTGTGCCATTTTCGGCCCTTTCGGAAGCAGCCGGCACCTTCAGCACAATCGATTTATTTTCCGCACTATTTTTGCGTAACTCAATGCAACTAATAAATATTTCTTTCGGATCCGCAATTAAAAATATTTTTTTTTTTACATTTAATCGTATGTGCTTAAACTGATAAATGATAAAAACATAGAAATGCAAGCAGAAGAATCTCGCTTCCACATTCTGCATATCCGCTTAACATTTTTGTTTAAACAAATTTGTCGAAATTTCTTCTCTAAAGCAAATATTAAATATCATTTAATATATACTTAAGATTTAAATAATCATGATCGCTATAGTACATACAATTCGCGTAGAGTTTTGAGAATTTTTTTTCGTTGAAGGTGTTGCACTTTTTCTTCCATACTGAAATTCTTGAACATCCAATTTGTATAAAGAAAATGCAAAAAATATTAAAAATCAGCATGAATTCTTAGCCGCACTTTCACTTTATAATACTAAAATTGAATGGACCATAAAACTGCATACCGTCAGCTGATGTCGAACACTAATGCGGTGAGGATGTGATCGCGCTTTTATTGATTTTATTGCCGTCAACAAGCATTTTCTTAAAAGCGCTAGCACAACCTCACTTACCGAACATTTAACACCAACTGAATGCTCTCGCTGTTTTCGCAAAATATAGTTGTGTGCGTCAGCCCATCGCTGACATACATTCACTTCAGTGTTGATATTTAAAATTTTTAAATTGTACCAAATTAATGACAAAAAGTGTAACTTTTTGAGCTTAGTTGTACTTTTCACCATTTCCGTCAATGCATTACCTCCATTTTCCCGCAACCAAACAAAACCAATTTTGTTGTCTACTGCAGTGTGTTTATTGTTCAATTCATTGTACAGCTTCAGTTAGTGTAGGCTTAATTTAACGTAACTTATCATTGAGATCTCTTCAGCTAGCCTATAAAGTCATAGCCTGTCTTATCAGAAAGTCCCACTAAGTTAAACTAAGCTTCATTCAGCTTAGAGTTTAACTTAAATTATACACAAATAAATTCTTGAATTATATTTCACATTTTTAAAAGTACACCCCGCGACAAAATGCTAAGGACACCTGGTTTGGGCTATTTATTATATTATTTATCATTGTCTAACAAAAACTATACAAATAAAGCTTAATTTAAAATATTGAAATAAAAAAACAGCAACGCAACACGCGTATTTTCATCCATATAAAATAAAATCCGAACATTCGTTGTATGGAAGGAAGTGCGCAACACCGCAAACAGAAAAATTCAAAAAATCAATGGTATTTTTTATACACTTCAAACTTGCCCCTTATTATACTAGAATGAATGGGCTACAAAAATGTTATCCCAAAACATGTCTACAAATTCTGAACAAAAACTGTGATGAAACTTTGTTGATTTTTTTCAATCTTTCAAGTTAGGATTTATTTGCAAGGTTTTTGTTAGACAATGTGCTACCATTTTATAAAAAAAATAATTAAAACTATTAAAAAATAAAATAAAATAAATACAGGGTGACCGTGTAATTTTGTCAAAGATGAAGACAATAATGATAAAACATTAATACACTATATAGGTCAGTTCATATTAATGAAAATAAATTACATAAAATGAGATCACTACCGATAAGATGGAAATCCTCAAAGGAAATTTTTAATTTCAACGCATGAAATTTACATACACTTTTTTTACTTTCAACCACCGAATTGCTCAATTACTTCTATTTCTGCAGGATCGCCATTAGGTAAATTGCATTTCCAAAGATTTTTTCAAAATAAATAGCGATAAGGGATATTTCACCTGCCGGTGATAAGAAATCGCAATCACCATAACGCACATCACTAATATTACTGTTTACAACCACGTTTACATTCAAAATTACAATTCATAATTTCATTTTGAAGCATAAATGAAATATAGGTATATCCATTTGCTTAAATGTAAACGGATTAAGAATCAAAGTGCTAGAAGAGATTTGAGCGTTTGGTACAAAAAGTATTTTTGATGTTGAAATGGTACTTAAAATCGGCAAATTGTACTTATGTAATTCTTAAAATCAATTGTACTGAAAAAAGTACAATTGTACTTAAAATATCAACACTGTTTCACATGCGTGACAAAGTACTTACTGCAGCGATGCCAGATTTGAGCGTATCCAAATTTTTACCGATAATAACTCATGCGAGGGATTTGGGTATTGGGCATTTTACAAGCCTATTGGGAAGTATACATATCTGTGTTCATATAGAATAGTAGCTTATGTCGGAAGACTGGCTGTAGTATAATGAACCATTCGCAGCATACGATTGCGAAAGACTCACTGGCGCCAAGTCGTTGAAGAACTTTTGGAAAATAAACCAATAACAATATAGTTTAAAAAACTAAAACCTCCCTATTATAATTGCCGTTCGTACTGTCATCAGGTATGTAACTTGAGAATAGAAATCGCTGCATCTTTTAGGCGCATCAATATTACATAGTTACATCCCGAGCTAATAAAAGGAAGGTAAAAAAAAGAGGCAATTGCGATGCTGGCAATTCAATATTCGTGTGAAGTCTCATAAAAAAATTTCTTGTGGTTTAAAGAATATAGGGAATGGTACATTTTACTAAAGCCAGCCTCCCGACATAAGCTACTATTTCATACGAACACAAATATATTCGTCTACAAATAATGTTGATTATATTAATTAAGTCCTAAGATAATCTTATCAGTTTTCTATGTAAGAACCAAAAATCAATACCCTCGCCAATTAGAACTTTTGCTTTAAAAGAAAAATATGCATATTGCATTTACTCAATACTTGGTCTGGCATCACTGTTTGAGCATGGATGCATATATGTAATACCCCTATATTGGCAGTAAGAGCTAGTACCGTCCGAAAACACTACAGTACAGATATATCAATAAACACGTACGAAAGAAAAGGAACACATACGTTTATAAACGACATATTTACAAAAACGGCACTCAAGTACACAATCCATTGACAAAAACAGTACTAGACTGTCTCGCTTTGATTTCTGAATGCTTACACATTAGGGGTATTCTCTGAGTCTTGCAAAGCCCTTGCACGGTGCACGGATTGCACGGTTTGCAAAGCTGTCCCATACGAAAACCGGTTTTTACCGTGCAATCCGTGCAATATGTGCACCATGCAAGGCCTTTGCAAGACTCAGAGAATACCCCTATTGAGATGTTAGCTTACTCCAATATAGAAGTATTACATATATGCATGGTGTGCTCAGCTCACTGTTGCCAAGGTCGTGCATTTTGCACTAAATTTAGTGCTTTTGGGAAACCAAAAAGCCAAAATAATTGGAAATCAATAGGGGTATTCTCTGAGTCTTGCAAAGGCTTTGCATGGTGCACATATTGCACGGATTGCACGGTAAAAACTGGTTTTCGTATGGGACAGCTTTGCAAACCGTGCAATCCGTGCAACGTGCAAGGGCTTTGCAAGACTCAGAGAATACCCCTAATGCTTGGTGCGTTATTTAGTGATGCTTTTTTAATTTAAGCACACCGAATGCATAGGTACATACAAGTGTATGTATGTACATACTATACACTTATATTCTACATTAATATGGAATTCATTTACTGAATAAAATGTGAGGAATAGGTAAATTAAATATGTTTTGCGTTGTTGTAAATGTATTTAAATCAATCTATTAATAAAAACGTGAAGAAATGGATATGTATATACACTTTTTACTGAATCAAAAAAATTATTAAACATGATAATAAAAACTTGGCGCTTTTGTTTTGGAAAATTGGCATTTTCTGGTGCCCTGATGCCACACTGGCTCAGTTGTCGCAAAAGTACACATACATACACGCATTTTTACTAGAGTCCGACCGATTTCAATTTTTTTTCAGGTACCGATGACGATGCCGATTAATCGGCTTATGGGGGAAGAATCGGCCGATGCCGATGCCGATTCCATAAAAAATTACAAATAAATGTATTAATTCATAAAATCAGTTCATTTCACGGAGTTAAAAAAAACAACAAAAGAAAAGAAATAATTGAATTAATTGACTTGTTATGCAACATTACATACACATGTATGTACAGACATACATATGTATGTGTAAAAATATATGTACATATATCACATTTATGTACATTACATAAAACACTTTTTTTCATGGTGCTAAGCAAATAATATTTAGGAACATAAAATTTCATTTCGTTTTGTACTAAAATACACTCTTTTGCACTCAATGCATAAGAACTTATATGCTAGGTATGTATGTACATACATATAGTGGTCCACAAAATAAAAGAATTGCGATATTTTGACCGTCTTTTTTATTTAATGTTTATTATTTTTTTTTATAAAAGTCTAGCTGGTATACAACAAACACCATATAAATTCAGATTTCAAACTTTGTACAAAAATTAGAAAAATTCTGCTTATTTACACCAAAATTTCAAACCTTTTAATCAGAATTTTGGCATGCAGTTTTGTAGACCATTTCATTCTAGTATAATGAAGTGCAAGTTTCAAGCTGCTATAAAACCCCGTTAATTTTTGGCAATTTTCTGTGCAGTGTTCTCCATATAAAAGAAAATTGTCGCACATACTTTTGTATGGAAAAAACGTGAAATACCTTCAACAAAAAAAAAATCATTTTTGTGAGCTGTCTGCAAATGTTTTTTAATGTTGGCTGTCGCTTCACCTGAACATTTGAAAAGAAATTCCAAAGAATCGGCGAAAAAAGCCCGATGCCGATGCCGATGCTCAATTTTGTGCCGATACTAGCCGATGCCGATGCCGATTAATCGGTCGGACTCTAATTTTTACTTCAAAATAAGTGTGTAGTGGTTAATACGTATACGCTGCCATCTCCGTACAGCTCACTTCACCTCGCCTAGCACGCTCGCGTGCTCGCAGTTTGCCCGCGACGTTGACTGCGTGCACCTCTGCTGTGCATCCCTATCCTAACTGAACGACAGTCCGGCTTTAGGCCGAAGAGAAGCTGCACAACGGCCCTCCTAGACGTGGTAGAAAGCATTCGGTCGCAAATTGTTGAAAACAATGTTGCCTTTTTAACTCTCCTTGACCATACCAAGGCTTTTGATTCAGTTGACCACAAGTTATTATGTTGCAAGTTAGAAAACTTATTCAACTTTTCCAGCCATGCAACTGCATTGATAAGATCCTATCTTGGCGACCGAACTCAGGCAGTTAGTATCGGCGACAGAAAGTCTGATTTTCTTCGCGTAGTCAGAGAAGTCCCACAAGGCTCTATTATTGGTCCCTTGTTATTTGTTTTGTATGTAAATGACTTACCTAATGTTCTAAAGTATTGTAATGTTTACGTTTATGCTAATGATGTCCAATTATAGGTTTTTTGTCCGGCCAATCGTACTGATATTTGTATTAAAAACTTGAATTCTGACTTGGCTCGAGTAAGTGAGTGGGCTTCTAAGAACGGTCTGTGCCTGAACCCGGCCCAATCCAATTGTGTCGTAATACATAGAAAGTCCTTAAGAACGAGTGAGCTAGATGAAATCAAATTGGACAATTCGGTCATAAAATATGTCAGCGCGGCCAAAAATCTTGGCATGCTCTTCAACAATAAGCTGACATGGTAT